AAGATGTTTACTTACAGTAGTTTCTTAGTGTTTCTGCTGATACCAACCTGCTGATCAGGTCCACCTGTCTGTCAGAAAAGCTCCTCTTCAGACTAGTTGTACTGTGACCCACAACATTCATTCATTCTAGAAATGTTTGTTTATATTATCATTTTATAACTGATCAGCAAAATGTTACCAACAGCAGGATGCAGTTTACTTGTAGTATGTGTGAGGACTGTAACAGAGGATAAAGACAAGAAAATCTTTAATAATTTCCTGTAAAACTTCTAACTTTGTGGACTGCTGGTGTTAGCCTGCTGATCATGTTTTTAACTGTATCTCTGATGTTTCACTGTAAAATGTAATTCAACTAACATTGTACTCAAAACTGTGTCCACAATGTTGATTGTTTTGTCTTTTTGCAACAACTTCCATGGGTTCACCACACACACATATCTGCATATATATCGACAGTCGATGGTTGTTGGTCTGACCACAGTCTGTTGGAAAATTTTCACATCATATCGTTTCATTTAAACAGAGAAAAAAATTATGACAAATGAAATATTTCACAACATTTTACAAATATAAACATGAAACATCAATTATGTGTTTGATAACCAAAACATTTTGAGGATCATTTTAACTTTTTATGTTACCAATTTTGAGCAAAACAAGAATTTTTGTACACATAGTATAACATTGTGAACAAACGCTTACATGCACATGTAAAGATCATGAATATCATGGCAGTCTTAGCTGTCAAATGATTCTTATAACTTAATTTTCCATGATGGAATGACTAAAACCAACGTGTCTTAGCCGCAAAGCAAATCATTCATCATTAATTCATTATTCGTTCTTTCATACATTTATTGTCTTTTGGAAGTATGACAGCATCTGCTGGGTCGAACATGTACATACACAACTTCAGTTATCAGTTTGGTGATGTATAAAGCTGTGTGTGGCATGGTGGCATAGCCTCTTAACTTCTCGTGAGTGATTATAGTTGATTACATCTGCTGACCTCTTCAAGCTCATTTAAATAGGGACTAGCATTAAGGGTTGATGGTCAGCAGTCAGCTCTGCCCTGGTTGCAGGCTCTCGGTTGTCCTTCTCAAAACAAGCGTATAAGTTGAGAAAAGGAGGAGCTGAAATTGAGAAAGGAAAAATCAGAGGATGGAGGGAAGGGCTGATGGTCCTGTAGTCACTGATGATCTGAATGCCTTGCCACATACTGTATGTTGAGAGTTGGAGCTGGAGAAGTGTTGCTCAACATTATGTCTGTAGAGGTGCTTGGCCTTCTCGATGCCCTATTTCAGGACAGCCCTGGCTGTGCTGTAGGCTTGTGCATCTCCTGATCTCAAGGTGGTGTTTCTGATTTGGGTACATGGTGATCTGTTTCTGGGTGGTGATGCTTTCTATGGTGTTGGAGATGTAGTCCAGTACAGAGAAAGTGTGGTTCTCAAGGTCTGTGGAAGTGACAGGTTGCACGAGTGGCAAACATTTTCCAGTCTGTGTGTTTGAACCAGTCCTGCAGCACAGAGTCTGTACCCTCTGACCACACTTTTATGGTCCTCACTATGGGCTTCACACACTGGATGAGTAGAGAGTACTTCACTAACTAACAAAGAAAGATGGTCTGTATACAGCAGTCTAAATCTCTTTCTATCTTGGAAGTACAAGATGAAGTCACCAGGCTAGTCCCTATTAAATCTGCTGGCTTTGATGGGCTTGATCCCATGTTCTTTTTTTTTTTTTTTTCCCCTCCTCTACATGTCCGGTCCAGCATCATAGGAAGCAGAATGATGATCTGGCTGCTGTGTTGTGCTGAACTATTTACTTTGCCCAGAGGGGCTTTGTAAATATAAGACCCCTCTTGATAGTCTGATTTTTATTTATTTATTTATGTATTCATTCTATTTCATTTCATTCATTTATTTTGGATGCTTGCTTATTGCTGAATTGAATGTAGTATTGCTGGACCTGAAAGAGGGTAAAAGAAAAGTATACAGTTTAAAGAAGTGAGAGGGAGTGAAAGGAAAGTAGAAGAAAACAAATACACCACAATCTACCGACTGCCACACCTGGACGAACACACAGCAGAAATGATCTGACGACTTTTGCAGGAAACCAGAGCCAATAATCATCAAGAGCAACTGTAAGAGATGAGGAAGCTGAGAAAACCTGAATCTCAATGATTACCAGAACACAAGATATACAGTATATGTGCACACGTAGATGAGAGAGAGNGTCTCAGGGAAGCTCCTCTGCATGCTCATCGTCTTCATCGGGGTCTCGACCTGACTGCAGTTCATCATCGTAACCAACTTCAGTGGGTAAATGCTCACATTTGATGGCATCTGGCACTTTGGAGAGGTGTTCTCTTCACAGATGAATCCTGGTTTTCACTGTACAGGGCAGATGGCAGACAGCATGTATGGCGTCATGTGTGTGAGCGGTTTGCTGATATCAACATTGTGAATTTAGTGGCCCATGTTGGCGGTGGGGCTATGGTATGGGCAGGCATATGTTATGGACAACAAACACAGGTGCATTTTATTGATGGCACTTTGAATGCACTGAGATACCGTGAGGAGATCCTGAGGTCCATTGTTGTGCCATTCATCCACGACCATCACCTCATGTTGCAGCATGATGATGCACGGCCCCATGTTGCAAGGATCTTTACACGATTCCTGGAAGCTGAAGACATCCCAGTTCTTGCATGGCCAGTACACTCACCAGACATGTCACCCATGGAGCATGCTTGGGATGCTCTGGATCAGCATATACAACAGCGTGTTCCAGTTCCTGCCAATATTCAGCAACTTCGCACAGCGTTGATAGATAATAGATGAGAGTAGATACAACACAAGGAAGGCTCTAGTCAGGAGAAAACAACCTGATCAGTGCCATAAAACAAGTTCAAGTGTGATAGGACCTTGGTGCCTACAGGCAGTGTGAGAGTTAATAGAATTTATTTCTTTATTTATTTTTTTTCTCTTTCCAGATTGTACAGTGCAAAGGTGTTCAGTGAAGAGCTGGGTCTTTAGTCTTTTCTTAAAGACTCAGAGCTCAGTCCAGACTGGTGGACTGCTCCCTCTGGGCTCGGAGGTAGGTGCTGCTCCATTGAAGGAGTTTAAGTATCCTGGCATCTTGTTAATGAGTTCCAAGAAATTGGAGCGTGAGACGGACAGGTGGCTTGGTGTGGCATTAGCCGTAATGCAGGCGTCATATTGGACTGTTGTAATGAAGGCGGAGCTGAGCTGCAGTTTTCGACTTATCAGTCAATCTACATTCCAGTTGTCATCTATGAGCATGAGTGTTGGATAGTGACCAAAAAAACAAGATTGTCTGCATTGACCTGCTTCACCTGCCGACCCACAACCCAACTACTGGCAAGTAGAAGAAAATGGATGGAGGGGTGAAGATCTGAATCATTTTCTCATGTTTCTCATTAGACCTTAATGCACAAGTGACATATTGTATGAAACAGTCTCACACACAAAAGACACAGGACTCCTCCTTTACTGGCAGTGAACTCAAGAGCCTGACAAACGTTTTATCTATTCACACCTATGTCACCAGTTCAACCTGTGTTTTGTGAACCTGAATGTCTGCTGTGACAAAGATCTTTTCAAACTTTTCAACTGTAGTCAATATTTCTTCTATGTACACATGGAGACACAAAGTGAAAGACAGAGAA